AGGTAAAGCTAAATCTTGACTCTGAGCTGTCTTTTCCTCTGTGTGTAACTTGTATCAATGTTGGTTTTTTCTGGCGCAGTCACATTGCTGCGGCTTAGAGGCTTTTCCCTGTCTGCCATATGTAAAAACAAAGAATTAAAGTCTGTCACCCTTCTTGGAAAATAAATTTTTAAGAAAAGGTATTCTAAAACCATAATTACTGTGGAGTGGAAGAACAGAAATTGATTGTTCACTCTTTATTTTAATACAATTCCCAGAGGGCGTTGATGATGCAGGATCTGAAGAACTAAAAAACACTTTCTATATGATGCATAAGTGAAGCGTGGAGTTCCGGTGTGATGTGGATGTTAAAAGTTGATGTGGTTCAAAAACATTGGGGTGGCTCTGTAGAAGAAAAAGTATAGAGAGCACTATTAAATACATATAATAAAATTAATACTAACAAAAACTACTTTAGGAAGTCCCAATCCACAGATGGCTCAAGTTGGGGAAAGCTACGTCCTTGCCCTGTTCTAATGCCCTTCCTTCACCTCCTTGTTTTTAGCCTCTGTGAGGGAAAAGGTATTGGATTTAGAACCGTCTTTGGTCTCACCTACTACGGTGACTCTTAAGTTATGTTACATGGAGCCTTTATTGTCACCTAGGTACTGCAGGCAGGAAAATTCAGTTAATCTTACTTAGCTGTTAAAACTAGCTTATGCTGTTTGATACTAGACACTTCTAATAGGTTCATATGAAAAAGCATTTTAAGGAAAGATACATCCTCGTCATAAACATTAATTTATCAGTCTGGAGTAATTACATTATTTTCTTAAAGATCAATCAATATCAATCAATCTTAGATTCAGAGATTGACTTATATTCCATGTTAGCTAGTAATAGTGATAACTAGTAGTAGCTGAATATGAAATTAAAACTCTACGATCTTGCAGTTGTGTATGTAAGATTATTTAAGAAATCACAGTAATTCATATGTGTGGTGAGAATTGGGGTGGGCAGGGATCTTTGCTGCAGGGGGTAAATATCACTTAGAATATCACTTTGTTTAGGAACCTTCCTCAAGTTTGGAAATAAACTGTAAGTTATAAAAATTAGTCTGGAATTCAGGTAACAGCTTTTACCAGTGTACTTCTAGTCATGTAATTACTGATTTTCAGAGTGACCCACTCTGATAGTTCGAAAATAAAAAAAGACATCAAAACCACTTCAGGCAAACAAAGTTTACTATCACATTGGCAAATTAAGCAAGCAAACAAAAACCCTTTACAGATGGTGGCATGTGACGTATTTGTTGTAAAATCAATTGTATTGTACTCCTTTATAAGGACTGTGAAATTCAAGAGTTTGTGTGTTTACCCAAAGTAAACATGAACACCAAATTTTTAGCTGGTGTGGTAGAGGTGTGAGTTTAAAATATGGTTATGTGTTAAAGCATAAATTACACCATCAGAAAACTTCAGAACTTTGACATTTGTAGCACAGAACACGATTCAGTGTCTGCACAGTGCGATTATAAATTGGGAGGGTACGGAGCTAAGTAATTTGGGTATGGAGCAGCACAGCTGCAGCTATGCTTCTCCCGTGCATTATCCTTGCCATCCCTCCTGAAATTACTTTGGTTGAAGATATGCTTAGAGCATGTTTAATGCATAACCTGGATAACTGCAAGTTGACTGTAGTACAAAGGATTTCTGAAAATTAAATGGCATACTTTAACCTGAAACACTTGTCTATGTTCTGCTGGTGTCATCTAAAAACATTGCAAATTACCGGAATTTTAGTAAGACAGATAATAATAATGAGTTGAGAACTGGAAAAAACTGTCACAAAGGCCAAGAAGATTCGTCCTTTGAAGCCATGAGTAAATGGAGATATGTTGAAAGTTCGCAAAATTATGATTGTTACAGTGGAAGGAGTTTAAGAATTTTGGGGGGTTTTTTTGTCACATTATACAATTAAAAAAGACCCAGTGAAACAAACAAACAAAAAAAGGCATGTTCACAGCTGATAATATGAAATGTTGTGGGTTTTTGTCCCCAAAGTTAACCCATAGAGTTTATTAAATCTTGGCCTCACCAACTTCTTGGGATAAAGAAAACCAAAAATGTGTTTTAGCATATTGGATATGTTCTAGCAACAATGATTTCTATTGTGGAAGAGAAAACATGAGAAATAAATAATAATTTAAAAAAGCCCAATTTTATGATTAGAGAAACATAATTTAGATTTGGAGAAGGAAAGGGGGCAATGTAAACATAGAAACCCCTTGAACTGATTTTGTTTCTCAAATGTTTTATTAAATAAATACTCTGTTTTCTTAAATAAATACTTCTAATTTTCATTGGTATATCTTGGAAGGTGGGGAGGGAAAGGGCAGGAAAAGGGCTCTGTTTCTTTATGAAAATAAACAAACTACTTATGGGCTGAACTGATATATTGTAAATAGAACATTATGCAATGTCAAAATATTTTTGTAGACTTTGCTACAGTGTTTAGAAATAGGTTGAAAAAATTAGGAGGTATATAAGAAGGCATATACCTATGCCAGTTCATTGTGCTGCAAGGTATTTTTATTTATACGCTAAGAAAAAATGATGTTTCGGGGGAATTAGTAACTCAATGCTGCACGATCTTTATGTGGATGTATTGTGCTGGACAATACTCTGGCATTTTCCTGTTCTTGTTTTGGGTTTTCCCACTGTTCATGTAAAAAATGGGACACATTTCCATTACTATGTTTATCATGTAATTGACGTAATCCGTTTGAGAAGAAAAATGATCTGTGGAAGCACTGTGACCCAGGTGAGACTGGGAGGGGAAGTTGGGACATAGGAAATTGAATTAGAAGGAATTACAAAAGGAAGATACATTTTAAATTATACCACAGCAAAAATGAAAACAGCTCTGTTATTTACATGCGCAGCAGAAAGTAATAATGACACGCATGAAATCTAATTTAGCATTTCTCTGTGAATTGTATCCTCTCTTTTTGTCATCATAGTGTTCAGGTGAGGTCACAAACTGATAGATAGCAAGGGACAACAGAAGCTCAGGCTGTGATTCCATAATAACAGTGTGAGAGAGATCGTGACAGTCCAGCCACACACTGTTCTCATTCAGTGTCCTGCCCTTGACAGTGACCAGTAGCAGGTGTTTGTAGTAGCACAGCAAGATAAGCATATGTGATGCTTTCCCAAGACTTAAGTGCTTTCCGGGTCAGGGACTTGCTGAGCCTAAGGTGGTACACATCCATTAATTTGCCCTATTTGCTTTTGAACTTGAGTGATTGTTTTGTTTTGTTTTATCACCCACAGCATCTTGTGAGGAGTTTCACAGTTTATGCACTGTGTGGAAAAGTACTTTGTTAAATAAAGTCCTGAACTGTTCTCTGCTGTTTCATTTGACGCTGCTCTGCTTTTTGTACTGGAAGGGATGATTAGCAGTTGTTCCCTGTTCACCTTCTCCATGCAACTTATCAGTTATACTCTCTCCACCCCTTTCAGCTGTCAGTCTTACTGGTAGAAGAGTCCAATTTTGGTTCACCATTCATCATACAAAAGCCTTTATGCAGTCCTTGGTATCTCTTGTCTCACTTCTTTCTACTTTTCCTTACGCTGTTCCATCCTTTTTGGCAAAAGATACATTTTTGACAAAGGGGAAGGGGGGAAAACTGGCACATGGGGGTTCATTGTGAAGTTTGTACAGTACTGTAGGTAATGGTGTCTTCCCTTTTTTCCCAAAGATAGTGTTCTGCTGTGATGTGGTGGTGGTGAGAGGGGTGGTGCTTGACAGTGGCTGAGCATTGAGCTTACGACAAAAACTCTGAATAACATTCCAGGGTTTCGCTCAGTGTGGTAATAGCAAGGGGAGCGACTATTGCTTTGTATGTGAGATTAGGATTGTTCACCCCTCATGAAACACCATGTAGATGAACTAAATGGTGTACATCTGCCAGTTCTACTTGCCGTACTTAGGTCCATCTGCAACTGTTCATCACCCTGAATAGCTTGAGTGGCTTCACAAACTTTGTCACTTTTCTAAATGACAGCTTTTCTGGATCATTTAGAAATACTTTAAACAGAAAAGGCTCCAACAGAGATCCCTTTAGAGCTTTCTGGTCAATCTGTCTGCACTAAGAAAACTGGCTGCTACTTCTCTTTCATATCCCTTTGCTAGTTATTTATCTGTGCAAATGCCTTCCCACTTTATCACAGCCAAGCTCAGTTTCTGCAAGAGCTTTTGACAGGGGCTGTTTCAGAATAGATTTTGTAAAACCTACTGCATTGTATCAACTGGATCTTCTTTGTCCATACAGCAAGCAGCTCCTTTAAATATCTAACACACGAGGAATCAGTAAGCTATGCAAAGATGCATTGACCCTTTCTTAAGACGTCATGTTTGTCTGTGTGCCCTTATTCTTTTGAAGCAGTTTCTCTTACTGCTGGTGACTTAAAATGCAGCTGCTTATATTGTGTCAGGGCATGTCCATAGGCAAGAAAACAATTCTGAATCTGTCCTCTCCCAGATCTTTGGCTTTCCGAACTGTTATTCCAATGCTATCTGTTCTTATGTGTTATACCCCCCCAATTCCTTCATACTGTCTGCTACAGCTTGAGAGTAACTGCCTATGTGAATCGGTTTGTGCCTTTCTCACTAATAAATTACAGAGGTGCAGAGGGAAGGGTTTCTTTTGCTGCGACCCACTTTGATGCAGTTCAAGTACCACAGTTAAGGAACCTCTGAGTTGGAGATAATTCCTGAAAGTGGCATGTGGTGCTTTTTCAAGGCATTCCTCTTTGGCAGAATGTTGGGTTTAACTGCTGGCTGAAATTACGTTTTCGTGAGGGGGAACTACGAGCTCCTTATAAACCTGAATGATGGCAAGGGGGTTTAATATCTGAAAATAGATGTTAAATATTTCAGCAGTCTGTCCTGCAATCCAAGAGGGATTGTTCAGACCTGTTAACTGGTGGGTAAAAGCTTTGCTGTATGCCGGTTTGATGATGCGTTACTTCTGTATTCTGGTGACCGAGGGGATGACTCTTGTAAGAAATGATGGAGACTTGTTGATTGACGGACAGTTTGTAGGTGATCATATGCTAAAAGAATTTCTCTGTGGGAAGGACAGAAATCAGTTATTGGAGTCCTCTCTGTAAATTATTTTCTCCAGAAGGGTTAAATTATTCCGTATTTCCCATGTACATTTGTGTTCATATTTTTCAAATAATACTGCTAAGAAGAATTGTGTACCTAAAAGTGTCTTCATAAATAAGATTGCGTTGCATAATGCATTTTTAGCTTAACAAATGAGTGACATCCATAACTTTGGAAGTAACCTTTGGAATCATAGATCAGACTATAAAATAGCCTCAAATTTCTGGGATTCTGTCATAATCAGTAGCTATTTTTACCATTCTTTTTTATTTCAGAGATGTTAAATTGTGTTCCTGTTAAACAGTTTTAACAAGATACGGTTTGGTGTATTGGGTCAGTTTATTTGGGTTCTTTAATTTTTCCCGACTTTCATTTAGTGTGGCTGGAAAGTCAACTACTCTTGAGATTTGGCTTCTGTTATTTTGAAAATATCCATATTGCTATTCACATACCCTACTGATTATTAAAATTGTCAAACAGAAGAGACTGAGATAATTTATTGATGACTACAAATTTATTGATGAAGGAATTAGTTTTCATACTGCTGTATTAAGAATGAGGAACATGAGGTGGATGTTATTTTTGTATGAGAACTTTTCTCATTGAGAATGATCATCCAGATTGTATCTACAGCTGATGGGATCAGTTAATTTCTGTTCTGTGATTTTTGTTTATTTATTCTTTTTTGACTGAAGTAGACCTAAGAAAAGAGCTTTGGCTATCTTATTAATAGAGTACTCTGAATTCTAAAGAGCTGATTACATATTGATGCAGTAGAGTCTTGATATCAGATTTTCTTTGTGTGACCAGTAGAATCCTTTTATAAATAGGCAGTTTGCATCTATAAACTAACAGATTAGAATTACTTCTTGTGAGCCTAAATATATTAAAATCATTATTCTTGGCCATATTTTAAAAATCTATTATATCAGCAGTTGAAAAAAACAGTGCTCTATTTTCCTGGTACCTTTCCTTTAGCTTTCATTCCAAGCTCACTTTTTACTGTTACATAATAGGCAAGTGTCTGATGACCAAAGAACTAGGAGTTGCAGCAAATCCAGTTTCTTTCCTGGTTGCATCCTTTATTCAGTAGTTTTCATACAGTAAATAATTGTCATAGGAAGCCAGCTCTTGTTTGCGGATTCAAAAATTCTAATGCAGTGTTAACGTGGAATGATGTTTTTCAGACTAACTATTACTTGTTGGACTCAGCTGAGTAAAACCAGTCAGCCGTTAATCTCTCTACAATTCAAACTACTCTTTTGTCTGCAACCACTGATAACTCATGTGCCCCGTGACTGGTGTCTCTGTGTCATGATAATCTTGGCACGTTCAGAGAAGTTGAAAATGGCCTGGAAATTGGATTTAATATTATCATGTATATATTAATTTTGTTTAATAATCGTGTATCTAGAATTACTCTCATAAATTAATGTATCTTGTTACTGTATTACCATTTCTCCATTTTTCTGGTGTTTTCAGTAGTAGCTTTTCACCCAGGATTTTTTAAATTCTGTGTTTTTGAGACATACTTGAATTTTTTTTGTTGTTTTGTTGGTTTGAAGGGAAAAGTCATGTTATTTTAATATAGGACTGTATTTTGCAAAACAACTTAAATAAAAGATGTCTGTACCTTCTTGTTTTGGTAAAATTGCCTATTAGAAAAAAAACCCAAACATTTTCTGTATTTAAAGGATACTGCTATCTGAAATACTGGAGGGACAAGGAGAAGCCATTAGAGGTTTGATTGTGGCCTGCCAGTTAAGCGTTTGGCAATTGTCAGTGTTCTGCACTTTGGGAGAAGCATTAAGTAGTTTTTCTTTGGTTGAAATCCATATTTATGGTTTCTTCATGGGTGAAGAATGAATCCAGAATGCTGACAAGCTTAGCGTTTTTCTTGGGTTATGTTGTCTGCGTTACTCCAGTCTGGAGCCAATTGTTATTTTTCTCCTGTCTCTGATGTAAACAAGAATTTAAAACCTCATTTAACCAGTGGTGATTTCTGCTGGGCTGTACGAGCTGAGAGAACAGTTAGGTTTGTTGATGGAATCCTTAGTTTTTCCCTCTTTAATTAAACACTGCATTGAGTCTCACTGTGGAGTAGCAAACGTTTGATGCTGTTTGGTTCTCTTCAGATTTTGATTCAAATTCTTTCTCATATTACTCTCATCTGTGTGGGTGTTTGCCTGGTGTACGTAGTTTGTTCTTTCTTGCCCTTTCCCTTCATGGAATCTGTATATACGGTTGAAACTGTGTTATTTTGGTGGAAGTTTTTTCTATGCTTTTCTCATTATTTCTTGGAAATTCAAGGTTCAAGAAACATACCTTGTAGTTGATGGTGCAGATGATAGTCTTAGTTTCCATGGTGTTCTTCCCCTGGACTTCAGGCTTTCTGGTTAACTGCTTTAAGTTCTGCACAGAGAGCCTTTAGTCCTAAGGGATTCGGTAGCTTTGACATAAAAAGATATTCAGGGAGGAGATGAAATGCAGCTCCCTCACATGGGAACATCTCAACCATGGCTTGAGTGTTTGCATTTAAAGGGGAGTGTTCTCTTAAATTGGAAAAAAGGACAATGCCCACTGGAGGTCACTATTTCAACTCACGGAATTCCACTTGTAGTGCTCCAGTGTGCGTGTAGGTGACATATAGGGCGTGCTCTGTGACTGAGCTTCTGTTTACTTAGAACAAGGTACTTGAATGATTAAATTAAATCTGTGCCTGAGTTTTTAAATGCTGATGAACAGGCATTATGGGACTGGGGGCGGGGGGTGGACCTTATTTGCAGTTCATCCATAGTTTTGATGTGTCATGTTTCAGGTAACTACCCATGTCCATGTCCCTATTGTATTTTGATAAATATGGTTAAAGAATATATCGTTATACACTGTGATAGTTTTTTAAAATTTGTTTTTAAAATTGAGGTTTACTTAGTAATTTTTTTATTGTATTCATATTTTCTGAAACATGAAGATGGGTTCTTATTTCCCCTGGTTAATGAAAACTATAAAGATACCTAGAAAAATATTTAAGATATATGTCATGTTAGTGCTTATGAAAGGTACAGATTCCTATGTATTCTTTTATATATCTACTTAAATATAATAGTGTATGGTAATATAGGATTTTTGCAGTGTATTAGTTGCACAGATGGTACTTGAATTAATTTCAACTTGGAGGAAAGTAATTCCTGCAGTTAACTTCCTATTATAATCCTTGCAGTTAGGACTGCCTGTTCCGTTAATGAATTGTGTAGTAGAGTAAGAATTGTGAGACAAGGAAATCTTTGTATGCCATATGAATCAGGTTGGTGATTAAAGTGATTACAAGCCTTGCTTAATTAAAAAATCTTTTAAAAAGCACAGCTTTTATGTTGCTGCTGAGCTTGATTTCTGATAAGGGCCGAAATATAGATATCTGATGAGGAAAAGTTGGCTGACAGGTTTTCTGGGCAGCTATGTAATAGCTATTTTTATGTAAGGAGTGAGCTAAAGTGCTATGCTTAGAAGAAAAATTCACACAAAGATTCAACCCTCATATGTGTGTCTCTCTCTGTTTTTCCCCACCCTCTAGTGATATGCAGCTTCCGCGGAGCTGTACCGCAAGGCTTGGTCCTGGAACTAGGTGAAACTGTCCAGATCCTAGAGAAATGTGAAGGTAAGTGTGATGTCCAAGAAGGAATCTCGCTTTCTATATAAGAATTTACAAATATATTAATCTAGCCGATTTTAATAAGTTGTTTGGAAATCATGAGGCATCAAATTAAAGCTCTTGAATAAAACCTAGTGTGACCCACTTTCCGTAGGAAAGGCTGAGTGCTGTTGGCACTAATCCAGTCTGATAGGGGGTCAGTGTGTTTTAAGTTAACCATCTGTCCAGAAAATCTTGAACCCTGACCTGATTGTTGTATAGTAATTGGGTCTTACAGTGAATTTTCATCATGTAAAGTATATAATCAGTATTTTTTTTACTATATTTTCTCAGTGTTACTGTTATGCATTTCAATTAAACGTATCAGTGTTTATTATTTAGAAACATCTGAACACATGAAAAATATTAGTTATAAAATAGATTAGCAAATCATTGGAACACTGGAAAAAATGTAAAGAATATGGGTTTAGGGGGGATTGTTTTGCATTTATCTTCATGTGGTTTTTTTGTACCTAAAGGAAAATGCCATTGTAAATGTTATAACTATAGTTCTTTCTTATGTGGCTGGAAATGTCTGTGTGTGAATAAATTGAATGTCCTAATCCTCTGCTTTATTCACATGAAAGGTGTGATTGAAGGTGTTGTATTTAAAAGGAGAATGATTCTTATCCTAATGTTCAGAGTAAGCAAGTGGTGTAAAACATGTCGTTGAGAAGTAGGTTGACAAGATACAGTATGAGAACATGTTTCACTATAGTCTGAGGTGGAATAACGTAACCTTAATCCTTAAGTGTTAAAACAAATTCAAAACCAGATCCACAAATTTGAATTCCAAATTAACATTCCACAAAGTTGTAGGTTTGTTTTTGTGTTTGTTCAGTTTACAGTCATTTTTCATCTCCAGTGTTAATGTTGCTACACAAACCTTCTGCATGCTTGTCAGAAGACTGCTTTTCTTCTCTCGTGCCTAGAACCGTCTTTTGCTCTTGATGCTTTTTCTTGTACTCAGGTGTTTTTGTTTGTTTACCTACTGACTTAACTCTCCATGAAGAAGTGACCTCTTACATGCCAATCTTTCTAGGAAAGTGGTAGCTTCTTCACCTACACTTGTAAAAATTTTCTGTTCAATGAGAGTTTTGCAGTGCAATAGCGACGTTTAATCCATGAAGAAGCATGCTGTAAACAATACCTGTAGTATTATACCTGCAAATGATGATGTTTTTTTAAAAAACACATGTGGTGTAATGGGCTAAGCTTTACTTAAGCACTGAGTGTTGATTGTAGTCATTCTACCAGGTCTTGTGAATTAGTACATGGTGCAAGCTCAGGAAAAATTTATTACTTTGCATAGGATAGTATAACTCTAAGGTAAAACAGTGTATGTTGCTGAAAGCAGTCATGGTATTTTCAAACCATTTCTGATAATCAAGGAAACTTTCAAAACTCTGGGAAATAAAAGCACGGTCTCAAAGGAGCAGGTTGCTTACAGAAAAGCAAAAGGATAATCCAGTGTCTCTTTACAGTGTTATAACAATTAGGCTCTGTATATTTTCTTTGCCAGTAGTTTTGAGGATGATTCTTCAAAGGCAATTCATGCCAGTCTTCAAATTGCTGAGAAAGGAGGCCCTCGGACAAAGTGTTTTCCTGGCTGGAAGGAGGTGTTTGTACAGAGGTTTTTTTTGTTTTGTTTTTTAAGCCCTCTATCCTGTCAGTTTGGTGGAGGTGCCTTTACCATGGACTTTAAATATATAAAAAGATATATTAATTTTGATAATAACATCTGGAACTCCAAAATATGAAACTCATCTGAATATTCAGATGGTCTGTGCTGCAGCTCTTGCATGTGTGAATTATGCAAAAAAGCACACTAAATGTGCAAAGTACGTTCTTAAAAAAAAAAAAAAAATAGTCGTTTAAGCATTCTTGTCTGAGTGGTTGTTTAACACAGTCCTTGGTTTGCCTTGCAAATTTAGAATGAAGCATACCTCATCTTCTGCTTCTGCATTATTTGCTGGGGATTCTTTTGTCCAGACAAACTGGATAAATTAATGTTAACCCATGCAAATAAGGGTCACTACCATGGGAGTCCAAAGAAGATCCATTGCTGTTTCAGCTTCGCTTCTTAGAATAGTTTGTGCATAATTCTCTACAGTAGAGACTTTGCTGTCTGGGTTAAAAGGATTCACATACACGCAAACCTTCTAGTGATGTGAAGAATGATTTCGGAGACTCGCTGAAGAATTCGAGGCTGACAAAGATTCAAACACTAGCTATATTCCTGAATGTGCTTATTTATAATCATAATGACTTACTGAATAACTGTATTATTACTACAAAAGAGCAAGTACTCTTTTGTAGTGACTGGTGTGAAAAGTAGGTGCTGCATTTAGAGGAATTGAATGAAAGAGCAGGGAATTTTTTATATCGAGTTCTCGGGTACCTCTGCAGCTAAGTTTTATATATATTCACAGAGTAGAGGAACAAATACATATGCATACACACATACATGTATTTTTCTCTTTAAGGCTAATAAATATGAAAACCAGTTGATAACACATTTTAAAAAAAAAATCTTTTTTTTATTGTGGTTTTCTATGCATTTTTTAAAATAAAATGCAATGAAATACAGTTGTCTGTTACTATGGATCTTGTTCATGTGCTTGAAATTGGAACTTCTGAATTTCAATCAATTTGCGTGCCTGCCACTCTGTATGCTTTCATACCAGGCCACAAATGGTCTAAATTGCTGTTTTCTAACCCTGTCTAAATCTCACAAACGCCTCCCGCTGCCTCCCGCCCCCCAGTAATTCAAAAGGACAGGGTTCAAACCCATGGACTTAGTGTCTGCCTTTCCTCTGAAGCTACCAAAAGCTCCATCCATGTTTTCATCAAACATTACGCTATCTCTAAGCGTGTGATGTTACTGGAGTGGTTTTACAGTTACTGCTTGCACGAAGGACTCTGAGATCTTCTGCTGGTCTCACGCAAAGGTAACAAATATTCTTCAAGATATCAGTTGTACATATGCTTGTCTTTCACAGCTTTCCCCTCTCTCTGTTCCCCTCTCTGAGCCCTTCCACTTGTGATCTTGCCACCGAGAGAGAATTTAAACAGTAAGTGGCGTTCTCTGCTTTACATGCCACGCATTGAGGAGGTGAAAGGGTATGGCAATAGTATGCCACCTATAAATGCTGAAAGACAGAGTTTTCTTTTGTCAAGTGACAAAGCATGAGCATACTCATTATTTGAAATACATGTGGACTGCGCGTTCTAAAGAACACCCTATTTTTCAAGTCATACGGCTATTGCCCTGCCACTGGCAGTAGCTGTGAGTAACTAGTGGCAATCAGAGTAAATTTAAAATGTCTGTTTTGTCCATTTATTTTTATTGCTAGGGAGCAGTTTTCTTCTGATTAAAAATGCTACTACTTCAGTGACTTTAATTATTACCTTGAGACTCTCATATATTCACTGAAGAAAAGAAACACTAGCTGATGCCTGAAGCGCCAGTTAAAAGAATATTATCTTACCCATGCAAATTCTGGTATCCACAAAGGTATTTATTTACATGATTTTAGTGTGTGTGTGTGTTAATAATAGTGTTCTTAAGCAATATATATTTAAAGTTTCCCTCTGTTATTCCAGCAGTGACAGCATGGTTGAATGAAGGCTTTCCAGTATTTGGGACACTTAAGCAGCAGATACAGCTTGCAATTGGGGGTTTTTCTTAAATTCTTGAAGAATTCAATGTGCTTGAGAAGAGTTATCTTTGCCATACTTCCAATTTTGTATCGTACAGATGAGTGAGGCATCACACTTCAGACTGTCATTGCTGTGGGAGCAATGCAGGCTTCCTTCCACCTGGAGTTGGGACCTCTCCTGTGGCTGGCTGGGCCAAATTGACTCACTCCCAGTAATTTGGGTTTACCCTGAGAGAGATGTCTCCAGTGAGATATCCCTTTTCCTCTTTGCCTTTTGTGGAGCACGCCAGTGGAACTGGAGTCTCTTGGACCCACACAGCTACTGCGGAAGATCTTGCCTGGCTATTCAAACTAGTCTTTTGGAGCACAGGAATGGCTTCTCGATGGCCCTCTGCTTGGCTAACACCAAGATAAAACTCATTCTCCTGCTTTTGCTGTGGCATCTCTCTGACTGCATTATTAGCATACTCCTGTGGTTCTGCTGGCATGAGGCTGCTCCCTGACATGGTGTTGGCAGGCTGGGTTGGTTGAGTATTCATCTGCTGCTCGTCCTGTCCTGGCACTGCTCAGAGCATCAAGCTCAGAACAGAGCGGTCTTGGCATTGAGTGGTTTCGGCATCAAGAAGCTTTTGCTAAGCACTGTTACCATCCCCCTTCTGGGTTACTTTGAGTACCTTTAGCTCTGCACAAAGATACTCTGCAAACAGCTTATATGCAGATTGAAAGGTAAAAGCAATTGTTTATTGGCTAGTATAGCAAAAGATAGCTTTCCTCCGGATTTGAGGGTTACTCATAATACTGCAAAGTATACTCATTTTTGTAGGACAAAGAAGGCTCGAGTTCTTGTAGCACATTCTACTAGCAGTGCTTTCTTTAAGATCCAAGTTTAGCTTTAGGACTTACCATAAATACGTAATTTATTTTCAAAATTCTGTTTATCAAGAAATTATATGTGGAGTTTGTTTTTTCCCCACAGTCTGCGGCTGATGCTACTTTATTCAACCCGGATATTTGGGCTTTATTTTTCTGAAAAATAGATCAATACCTTTCAGTTAGGACCCTTCTGTTTTTCTGCTACTGAGTGCTCAGAAGGGATGAGCTTTTTCCATGTGATAGTCCTCTTGTTGATTAAGTGGAAATCTGAAAAGGTACAAGGTTGATTTTAGAAAGAATATCCTATTTTGTTCAAGGCACTTTCAAGTAAAGATTAAAAAACATTGGTAGCTCTTCAAATTGCTCAGATTAAGAGATTGAGATGTGCAGGCCTGCCACAGAGCTCCTTTTGCAATTTAAGTAGGATTGCAC